GAGGAGGCCGAGGACAGACATGTTGGAGGGGAGTTGAAATTAGCAGTGACTGGGAGGTTAGGCTGGCCATTACAGGCCAGCAAAGATGCTCAGCAAAACAGTCCCCTAGTCTACGTTTGGTCTTACCGACATAGAGAAGACCACTTCGGGAGCACCAGATACAATAGACTGGGTTAGAAGAGATGCAGGTGAAGCTCTGTCTCACCTGGAAGAACTGTTTAGGGCCCTAAATGGAGGTGGTGGAGGTGGTGTGTGGGCAGATGTTGCATATTTGACGGTCACGGGGGTAGGTACTGGTGGGTTCTACTCTTCTATATTCAACGCACAATCCACACACTCAACAAACGACTTTTTGACTTCATATCGGTCATTAAAAATCATAAGTTTGCAAGATTCTCCTCTACTCACTAACAGACAGCAAGAACTGCCGATGCTGGAGTCAGAGATAACAGAGATAAATGAATTTTTCTGAAGCAGGGTCCTGACCCGAAACATCAGCTTTCCTGCTCCTCTGATGCTGCCTGGCCTGCTGTGTTCCTCCAGCTCCACACTGTGTTATCTCTTCTACTCACCTCCAGTTAGAAAATCCACTTACTACTCACAATCTGTGCCTGGTTTTCGGCCACCTCCAGGCCCCCCATGCTGCTGCTGCCATTACTCACGTGTAGACCTCATCCAGTTCCAGGCCTCTCCGGTCTGACACCAATTCCGGTTCAGACGCTGCTTCCGGTTCTAGTCTGGCACCTGAGCCTCAGCCACCATCGACCGGGACCCACAGGAATTAACCTTCAACCTTCGTCTCTGCTCTGGACAACTCCACAAATGCTGTCCTGGATTCCGCTGCCAACAGCACTGGGACGTGCCTGGACTTCCCTGCAACTTCCGACTCCACTCCAGATCCTGTCCACTCTCCAATCAACACACAGACTCCTAGCCCCAGGGTCACTCCTACTGCCAACCTGCAGCTAGCCAGCACACCACTCTCTCCTCATCTGTCCACCCCCACAGTACACCCTCCCCCTCCACCTCTCCTCCCTCCTTTCTGCCTTATCTCTCCCACACCCCACCCCCCATTCAACCCTCCAACCCATTACCCTCCCACCTTCCTTTCCATCCCACAGCTACTCCCCCCATCAAACCGCATCCAACCCTCATCCATCGCATGCTATCGCTCTTCCCCCCCCCCCCCCTTCCCGCTCCTTGAGACACCCCCCCAAATTCCCAACCATGAACCTTGTTGAATATTCACCATTCCCCCTGACTTCGAATTCTCTGAGGCCGAACGGTCTGTCCTCAGTAAAGGGCTCATGTTCTTGCCCCTCTGCCTCCACCTCAGTGTGTTCTGTGCCCACCACAATGTGGAACTCCTCTTCCGTCGCCTCAGCCTCCATGCCTACTTCTTCGATAAAGACTCCTAACCACCTTTTGGGGACACCTTCGCCAACGCCCCCCTCCATCCTTTCTCTTTCTCTTGGACATGCCCTGCAGGCCTCCCTGGACCCCTTCACTTGCCAATGCGACGTTGACTGCCTGAATTTCTCCAACCCCCTCTCCCACTCCAACCCCTCCCCGTCTAAACATGCAATGCTCCACTTTCTCCACACCAATTCCCGTTTCACTGTCAAACCCACGGACAAAGGTGGGGTGGTGGTAGTCTGGAGGATGGACCTCTATGTCACAGTGGCTAAATGCCAACTGTCCGACACCACATCCTATCTCCCCTTGGCCACGACCCCACCATGCCTCATCAAGCCACCGTCTCCCGCACTGTCCATGATCTCATCACTTCCGGTGACCTCCCCTCCACCGCCTTCAGCCTTATGGCCCCCAAGCCCCACGCTGCCCAGTTCTACCTGCTCCCCAAAATCCATAAGCTCAACTACCCCAGCCAACTCATTGTCTCCACATGCTCCTGCCCCACTGAACTCATCTCTTCCTACCTCGACTCCAGTCTCTCACCATTGGTCCAGGCATTCCTCACCTACATCCAGGACACAAACCATGCCCTCCACCTTTTTGCAAACTTCCAGTTCCCTGGCCCCCTGTGCTTCACCTTTACTATGGATGTGCAATCCCTATACATGTCCATACCCCACAAGAACAGCCTACAGCCCCTCAGTTTTTTTCTTCTCCAACAGACTTACCCAGCAGCACTCCGATCAGTATCCTCATCTGCCTCACTGAACTAGTCCTCACCCTCAATAACCTTTCTTTCAATTCTCCCCACTTTCTACAAATCCAAGGGTTTGCCACAGGCACTCACATGGCCCCCAGCTATACCTGCCTGTTTGTCGGTTATGTTGAACGGTCCCTCTCCAGTACGTACACCGGTAGCGTTCCCCAACTCTTCCACACTTACCTCAATGACGGCATCGGTGCTGCATCCTACACCCAGGCTGAACTGGAAGCAGGCTTTGCTTACAATTTCCACCCCACCCTCAAATTCACTTCGTCTATCTCAGACGCCTCCCTCCCCTTTCTTGACCTCTCTGTTTCCAAATCTGGTGACAATTTGTGGACTGACATTTACTATAAACCCACAGACTCCCATAGCTACCTAGACTACATCTCCTCCTACCCCGAATTCTGAAAAAACTCCATCCCATTTTCCCAATTCCTCCATCATGGTCACATCTGCTCTGACGAGGAGACTTTCCACTCCCAAGCGTCCCGGATGTCTGCCTTTTCCAGACAACGGTCTTTTCCCCCCTCTGTCATCCAGACAGCCCTCCACCATGCCTCCTCGATTCCCCGCTCCACAGCTTTTAACCACCGCTCCCCCAGAATTATAAAGATAGGATCCCCCTTGTCCTCATTGTCCTCATTTTCCACCCTACCAGCCTCCACATCCAACATATCATCCTCAAACACTTTCGCCAACTCCAATTAGACCCCACCACCAGGAACATCTTCCACTCCCCATCCCTCTCTGCCTTCCAAAGGACCATTCCCTTCGCCACTCCTTAGTTTGCGCAACACTCCCCACCAACCATTCCAACCGGTCCGGTACCTTCCCCTGGAACCATAAAAGATGCAACACCTGCCCACACACCACCTCCCTTACCTTCATTCAGGGCCCTAAACAGTCCTTCCAAGTGAGACAGAGCTTCACCTGCATCTTCTCCAACCTAGTCTATTGCATCTGATGCTCCCGATGTGATCTTCTCTACGTCAGTGAGACCAAACGTAGATGAGGTGACCATTTCACCGAGCATCTCTGCCTGGCCTGTAATGGCCAGCCTAACCTCCCAGTCAACGCCTATTTCAACTCCCCGCCCCACTCCCGCTCCAACAGGTCTGTCCTCGGCCTCCTCTAGTATCGCAGCGACTCGGAACGCAAATTCGAAGAACAACACCTTATCTTCCACCTGGGCACCCTACAGCCTGGAAGACTCAACACTGAGTTCTCCAATTTCAAATAACCTTCCCAGCTCTGTCTCCAGCCCCACCTCCCCCCTTCAATTCCACCTTCTGACCTTCCCTTCCAGCCACCAATTGGATTCTTCCCTCCCATTGACCAACCAGATTGTATCTACTACCAATGTCCACCTACCACCACCATTCCACTCCCTCCCTCTTTATCTGCAGCTCCTTCTACCCCTGCATCCAGTCCTGAGAGAAGGGTAATACCTGAAACATTGACTGCTCCTTTCCTCCAGATGCTGCCTGGCTTGGTATGTTCTTCCAGCCTCCTGTTTGTCTACCAACAGCTTTCATGATTGTTTCCTAAAGTCAGTCCAACGGAGGATGACAGTCTAGTGGTACTATCGTTATACAATGATAATGGGGATCAGGGTTTGATTCTCACCAGAGGAGATGGTAGAATTTGAATTCAATAAAAATAAGTCCATAATTAGTCTCATGATGACTTTGAAACTGTTGTTGCACAAACGCGTCTGATTCACTAATGCCCTTTAGGACTGTCCTTATACAGTCTGGTCTATGTGACTCCAGACGCAAAGCAATATGATTAACTCTTAACTGCCCCCTGAGTAATTGTGGATGGGCAGCCAAAGTGCTGGTCTAGCCAGCAACACCCATAACCTGTGAATGCATTTTTAAAAGATTGGCTAAATTCAATTTCACAATTTGCTATAGCACCAGGCAACCATTTAATAATCAATCAGTTTGACCATTCTGAAGATGTTTGAAGGATTACAGGCAGGTGTCATCCATGTGACTGACATCATATCAATGGTTATACTACTCACCAGTCCTCTTCCCACTACCCCACTCTGCACCATACCATTGCCAATCCCTCACTGTAGATATACTATTTGTATGGATTGCTCCAATCTGTAAATTACTTAGGTGGAATTATTTATCCGCAATTTGGTTGTTTGTTTTTATCAAGTTTTATGGTATGATAGAACAGAAAATAGAATAGAAAATTATATTAGCTGATCAAATAAATGTTTACAAGTTATTAAGATCATTTTAGGGGAGGTAGTAAGAACTGCCGTTGCTGGAGTCAGAGATAACACAGCGTTGAGCTGGATGAACACAGCAGGCCAGGCAGCATCAGAGGAGCAGGAAGGCCGACGTTTCGGTTCAGGACCTTTCTTCAGAAAATCTATTAGGGGAGGTGATGGCCTAGTGGTATTATTGCTGGATAGTTAATCCAGGGATCCAGGTTCAAATCCTGCCACTGTAGATGGTGGAATTTGAATTTAATAAAAATCTCAAATTAATAGCCAAGGATGACCATGAAACCATTGTTGATTGTTGGGAGAAAAACCCATTTGGCTCACTAATGTCCTTTAGGGAAGGAAACTGCCATCTTTATGTGGTCTGCCCTACATGCGACACCAGACACACAGCAATGAGGTTGCCTCTCAACTGCCCTCTGGGTAATTAGGGGTAGGTAACAAATGCTGGCCTAGCCTACGATGCCCATATCCAATGAAGTTTTTAAATTAAAAGAAAATTACGGGCAAGTATTAACTGATTGACTCTTGCTGGTTGAGAAACTGGTCAGAAAATGGCAGAAATAAACATACTGTGACTTGTCTGATGCCATCTTCTGTGAACAGAGGGTGCAGATGGTGACTTCCCTCGGAACAGACCATCAGACTTTGGTGAATGGAGGACAAGATGGAGACCCAGAGAAGACACTAGTGAGCTGCAGCTGCCACATTCCAACTCGAATGTTTAAGTCGGAAACTGTTGCTGTCTCATTTCTCTCCATTGCCTGGTAAAATGACAAATTGCATACGAATGAGTTAAGGTTAAATAATAATGAGATGTTAATGCATGTAAATAGGTCCCTCATCATTCACTGGAGAGTGTTACATCTAGCTCTTAAATCCTTGAGTGGAAAATTAAACTTCTTTCTCAAGGTCTGAGAATCTCATTTATCTGTTCTGACCATATTTTCTCAACTGATTCACCATTGCCCATGTCATTCAAGGGCTCAGAAAATTCCACTCAATTCTCTTTTAAAAGTTATATTTATGGGTGGCTATCGGGCAGGATATATAAGAGCTGTCCTATCTTTTTTGAAATAATGCCATGGCGTGTTTCATATTCACTCAAGAAGCTTGACACCATCAAGGACAAAGCAGTCCACTTGATTGGCACCACATCCACAAACATCCACTCCCTCCATCACCGACGTTCAGTAGAAGCAGTGTGTACTATCTACAAGGCGCACTGCAGACATTTACCGAAGATCCTCAGACATCATTTTCCAAACCCATGACCACTTCCATCTAGAAGGACAAGGAGAGCAGATATAAGGGAACTCCACCACCTTCAAGTTCTCTTCCAAGCCACTTACCATCCTGACTTGGAAATATAATGCTGTTCCTTCACTGTCACTGGGTCCAAATCCTGGAATTCCCTCCCTAATGGCATTGTGGATCAGCCCACAGCAGGTGGACTGCAGCGGTTCAAGAAGGCAGCTCATCACCACCTTCTCAAGGGCATCTAAGGACGGGCAATAAATTCTGGCTCAGCCAGCGATGCCCACATCCCACAAAATGATTTTTAAAAAATCCAACTGTGAACGCAGTGACTCCATTTAACATCTTATTGAGGAGGCTAACAATGCCCAACTCTACTGGAGTATACTTCAGATCTCTGGATTAGGGTTTGAACTCAAAAACGTTCTCACTTGTATGTGTGAGGACTGTCACTGAGCCACAGGGGGACACTGTTGTTTGAAGGGCAATCATTGGCCAGCTAAGCATCACTGAAGCAATTTGAGTTAGACTGGTGAATAAAAGGCTACACCAATAAATTAAAAGTGAAAAAAAAAGGAGTTCCTTGTGTTTAAATATAAAATATCCATCCAGGTTTTCACATGTTCACGTTTATAAAAATGTTTTCTGATCTTTACCCAAAATTCCCGATGTGACCAACATTGTAGGATCAATATTTCAACAAGATTTTGCAAATCAATATGTTTAGAGCATAATTTCAGTTCAAGGTTAGTTAAGATCAATTTCCTCCCTTCCTTATGATTCCACAATCAATTAAACCAGAGTTTTAATGATGTTAAGAGTGTTAGCAGATTTAATGGTTGAAGAAAAGCACATTCAGTGCAATAAATTTGCATATGGTATACATTCATTGCTAATGACCAACAGAGTGCTTAGTAATGAAACAATTAAGAGTCACTTAAGCTCTGTGGTTTTGATATACAGTGGGAAAACGATCATGCATTAACCATTGACAGTATTTAGCCCAAGTTGAATATGGACAAGTATTTGCAGAAGCACATTCTAATCAATGCAGCAGAAGCACACGTTGGGAGATTAGATGTGGAGCTTTCCATCCATTTATTTTAAAAACCATAAAAATGTAGTATGTAAACTGGATTTTTGGACAGAATTTTCTCTTTTATTAGTTGAAGTAGGGGTTTGTGTCTTTAGGATTGATACACCATCCACCCCCATCGGCAAGAAAGCCTGTCATATCAAATGCCAATCAGGCACTCAAATGGTCACCTCATGGGCTTCTCAGTCTGTCACCCCTCAGACCAGAATGTTCCCTCATGCCTGAAGTTGCTAGTCTGTCAGAAGGCAGCAGATGCTATGAGGAGTGGCACCTCTATGGAGGCTCAGGCTGTTGGCTATATAGCAGCATTGAAGGCCAGGCACAACAGTAAACATTTCAGTAACAGTAAACAACATTTCTGAAGAAGGGTCTAGGCCCGAAACGTCAGCCTTCCTGCTCCTGTGATGTTGCTTGGCCTGCTGTGTTCATCCAGCTCTACGCCTTGTTATCTCACAACAGTAAAGGAACAGACTTTTGAATTTAAGGGGGAGATGTCACAGGAATAGGAGGGCCAGGGGCTTCAGAGACACAGTCAGAGGTTGATTTTCAGCAGTCACCATCTTACTTCACCCCAGCCCTCAAATATGTGCCCCTGAACACACCTAGATTTAGGTAAATAAAGGTGCCACCACCCACCTGGCAGGCAAACAGCCCCACTATAGGAGTCAGGAAAGCTTGTACTTTTCTTGCTGATGGGAAAAGAGTCAGGGCAGTGGTGGGCAGAGGCTACTTGAGGTTCTAAATTATGATGAGTCAGGAAGTTAACTGTAGAACTTCCTAGCCATAACCTAATTCCTGAGTGTTGGAAAGTGGCCTGGTACCGACATGGTTTCAACCTGCCAATTTACTTCTCTTCCTGCCACTTTACCTGCCACTTCTAGAGAGGGATATACATCAGCCTCAGGAACAAAATGCATTTGTATCTGCCATGACCCACTCCAACCTGACCCTGCATACCCACCTAAACCTGACCCTGACCTAATCCTGACCATAACACTGAATACGCACTTTGACCTGCCCTGACCTGACCCTGACTCCCCACCCCATCCTGACCCTGACCTGACCCTAACTACCCGTCCTGGCTTAACACTGACTAGCCACACGACCTCAACTTGACCCTGACCTGACCCTGAATACGCATCCCGACCTGACCCTGACCTAGTGATTACCCATAGTCGAAATGTCCTGGACTAACCATCAAAAATTGAAAAGCTTTTAATTTATGAATTTGTTTTGTAAACTGTTGTCCTGTTTATGTTATGTTCATGCAATGGTTTATTGATTTTGCACTATTATTTTAATATTTTGTAACATCAGAATGGGGGAAGCCAGGAGTTTTCTCTTGCTCTCTCCCCTATCTGCTTCAATGAAATACATGCATTCAAGCAACTGTGTAAACTCATTACATTGTTAGTGAAATTGTAAGCATTAGTTATGTTGATGTTTGCTTTCATCAAGGTAACAGTGTCAATTATGGAAATGGGATATTCTTTGTACTCTTATCTCTCGAAGTCTCTCCCAAGTATGGAACACAGAATCATTGAACGTTGTCATCACAGAAGGTCAACCGTCTCTCCCTGTCTCTGTCTCTCTGCAAGAACTGCAAAAGTTTAGTCCCCTTCTCTCCATAGATCTGCAATTTTTTTTTGTCATCAGATAGTTCTCCAAATCCCTTTTGAAGGCCATGATAGAAACTGTCTCCACAGTACTGTCAGAGGGTGTGGGCTCAAGATCAGGGCCATGGAGAATGTTGGAGATGTAAGGATTGCGACAGCAGACTGATACAGTCCTGCCTGCAGGTGATCTTCCCAGAGGTGAGTTTTCACCTGCAGAAGCTACTCATCCAGCTAAAAAGACAGGCATGTTGTAGGAAAATATAATTGTAGGTCAGTCAGATAGCAGCCCTGCCAAAAGAGAAAATTACCCTCACTATGCCCTGGATCCAACCTTTACTTGGGACCCTTACATTACTTATGGGTGAAATTGCAAATTCAATGCCAATTAATGATTGAAACTTGCCCATCTCGTTTTATATAGAATACATAAAATCAGAAAAGAGAAAACACTTTACAATCAGATTGGCTACAGTTTTTTCCAGATACCAAACTTGTTGGCTTGGGAAATTGTGCAAGTTTGTGGTTTTTGAGCTGCACAGCTGGCCCATGTGTGACTTTTTTCAAAATTATATTTGTTCACACAGGGTTCAGGTCTGCAGTGCCATTGCAAGCTGCGATGAAGCGTGAAAGGTGGATTGGTTCGAAGGCCCACCTTCATTTTCCAACATAGTAGCCTAGCTCTTGACATCCTTTAGATGCCACCTACACCTCACTTGTCTCCTCCCCTCCATCCATCTCCTATGCCTCCTCAGGTTGCTCATACCAGCTCTGTATCCCCTGCAATCCCTTTGCCACATCCATGACTCCTAAGATTTTCAATGCCTATATGTATTTACCACAACCAATTATCCAGTATCAATATACACTGTGTTCAGCACCATGCAACATGTTGGGAGTTATTTTAACTGCTGTTGTGAAAAAAAATTGTGAAAGTATAATATTATTCCCATTCAAAGGTGTATCATGATATCATAATTAAAAGCTCCATTAAAAAAGTTAACCTTTTAAGCGTCCATTATGTTATGTTAGCAATCAATCATGTGCTCTGTAACCATATCAGAGACTGAGTACATTAGTACAGCCTCATAAAACTGCCTGTCATTCCCCTGACAGCTGTATCAAAAGAACTAAGCACTCCATTTCTTTTGGAACCCTGCCATACATTCATATTTTTCACAGCTATCAAAATATTATTGCAACTACAAGAGCATGAAATTGCTAAAAACAGCTGTCAATGTCTAAGTAGATTCCCTGCTACTCATAGGTAAGGGGTAAGGAAGACTGAGGAAAATTGTCTTTTCCTGAGGAAAAAAAAGTTCAGTGTTTTACAACCTATTGCAGACCTTTATGGGAGAGCTGACCACAGAAGTATAAATCTGACATGTTAATCCACGACTCCCAATAGAAAATAAACTAAAAGAGATTGAAGATTTGGAACAGTATTTTTTTTTTGTTTTAAGAGTGGAAACAAAGACTGACACTCCTGAAACCAGATGCAAATACAACAGCAGCAAAGACCATCACATTAGGACTGGATCACAAGTGAATCAGGCAAATTAATTTTCTTGCACAAAAGAAACATCAATTGACAAGACCACCAGTTCAAGATCCAAGAGGCTTTCAAGGGGATGAAAATTGCAGTGGTGACAATGGACCTCGTTCAGTAGTGGAAGCTAGGGTTGAAGAGAAGATCAAGAGTAGGCCAAGCAGTTGCTGACAGAAATATAAAGTTTCAATGTGAAGCTCATCCTGCCATCGCTTTCATATACATAAGAATATTTGTACTCACCTCTTTGGATGCTTTCTCTAGCAGTCCCATCTGCTCTTTGGAAAACTACAAATCAGCATAAATGCAAGGAAATGATTGTATTTTTGCTGCTCCTCAAAGGATAGACCAGCACAAATTTTGATGACTTAACTCCTATAGGTCGAAGTTACACAATACAATATGGGTAACAATGCATTAACACATTCATGTGAATTTGTGCTAACACTTATTTCAACAAAAAGTTTAACCCATTTATTATATACAGATTAATGGTGGTTAAAATCACACAGAAAGTCCATCTGAATGTCTAAACATGATTGACCATGAGTCAGTCGCCTGTGGGATGGTATGAGTGGATAAAATTTAATTATTATGCATTGACAGTGGGGAGAAACATCACAGGGTTCTACCAGAGGTTGTTCATTAGATTTCACATTAGGATATATCATACATGACCTGCAGAAGAAATTTGTTTCAGTGAGTAAGAAAGATTTTCTTATTCCAATCTTCCTTATGTTCTTCACATCAAATCAAAGTATCTAAATAAAAGTAAATTTGAATTTTAAATATGCCTTGGATCGTCCACTGGCCAGAAAGCTGTTATTTCAAAGATGGGAGTTGCGCTGGGGACCCAGCAGAGTCACCATTGTAGCAGACTCCAAAGGATTTGCCTGAAAAAGTTGAAAATTCCACTGGGCAATTTGTCTATACCTGGAACTTTCTAAAACGCTACATTTAAGTTGTGAAATTCAAAGGGTTCCAATGCAATTAAGTCAGCAGTTAATCAGGAATAGTTAGATTATTAAATACATAGTGTTATGGACCAGACCAAACCTCCTTCAGATATATCAAGGAGATAGCCTAGACACTAACGTTTTCTTATTGAAAGGCAAGTATAAGGTGCTGTGTCCCAGATGTAATTTGATTGGTTACAATGCTTGGCTTTAAGCAAAACACACTTTATTCTTGCACCACAATAAAATACAAAGACAGGAAAGAAGGATTGGTCTATTGGAAAACTTAACAGACTAACAGATTATTTAACAATTAAACAACAACTGTTCCAATGTAGTAACTTCCCATAAACACAGCTTGGGCAAAGGCAAATTCAGTAAAAAAGATTTTCTCACATGTAATGTTTCTTTCCAGTCCTCCAGGACAGAACATCAATAGAAAATTTTGGCAGAGAGAGAGGTATGGCAGCTTCCACAACTAACTTCAAAACCCAACTGCTACTGAAAGCTAAACTAAAACCCTAGTTCTGTGGGAGCCTGATTCCACCCATTCATGCTGCTTCTATTGTTCCAACTTGTAAAAAAAACCAAGGCCTCACAAGCTGTTTAATTTATTGGCTTGGAACAGACTGCTTATCACCTCTGCCACAAACTCTTTTCATAAAAAAACCAGGACAAAATTCACCTCTTAAAACCTGAGTATTGTTACAATAATCCAAGCTGGATAAACTATACAATAGACGCTATCCTTAATTCACAGCCCTATAAATACACTTCACAAGACCACTTAAATACCTTTGCACCACACCTCCACACCCAATCCTATACACCACAAAACCTTTGCCACTGTACATTTACCCACCTTAGACTCGACTTCCAGCCTCTACTAGTGGACATGTTCCTCCCACTTTCCCTTGCGGTGTACCCTTCCCCCATGATGGACCTGATTTATATCCTGGACCCAATACCCACTCTCCACATCTGCTACTGGAACGGATTTCTTCTGCCACCATGACCTACAATAGACACTGCATCACCTACTGGCACACCTTGCCAACTTGCACTCTGATATGAAGAGATTGTCTTATGAGTAAAGGCTAAACAGGTTGGGACTGTACTCACTGGAATTTAGAAGAATGTGAGGTGATCTTGTTGAAACATATCGGAGTCTTAAGGGGCTTGACAGGGTAAATGCTGGGAGGACATCTGCACTCATAAGGGAGTCTAGGACCAGAAGGCACAGCCTCAGAAAAAAGGGGTGCCAATTTAAAACTGAAATGAGGAGGATTTTCTTCTTTCAGAGGGTTATGAGTCTTTGGAATTCCTTGCCAAGAGAGGTAAGGGGGCAGAATACTTCTGTATATTTAAGACTGAGGCAGATAGATTCTTGATCAGTTGGGGAATCAAGGGCTACAGGTAAAAGACAGGAAAGTGGACATGAGGAGTGTTGGATCAGCCACAATCCTATTCGATGGTGAAGTAGACTCGAGGGACTGAAAGGCTTACTCTTGTTCCCATTTCTTAAGGTCTTATGGTCTTAGGAACTTAATACATTTGTATAATGTTGTAGTATTGGAAGGATTAAAATATTTATACTTTAGTATCTATCTGATTACTTTTGCTCATAATTTAAGATATACAATGCACATTGTGGATAACAAATGATTTAGTCAATGGCATTAATTGTGCAAAAACAGAAAATGCTGGAGAAACTCAGCAGGTCTGGCAGTGTCTGTAGAGAGAAAAACACAGTTAATGTTTTGAGCCTGATGAAGGGTCATTGGACTTGTCAGATTCATTGAGTTTCTCCAGCTCTTTCTGATTTTATTTCAAACTTCCACCTTTTTAGTTCTTTGTCTTTATTTTTGTACTAACTATGCATTGTTTAAACCTTATGTACTCACTTTAAAATTCACCATCTAGACTGAGTCAAACAGTTTGAGGAGAAATAATTTCGTTATGTTTGCTAATTGCACAAAGCCCTTGGATCAGTGCACCAAATTGATTGTGACACTGTTATGTTTCAAGGAATGACCACGTTGTTAATTAGTAATAAACTACAAAAATCATCAATCATTATCTTCCTAATTCTAAAGGGGTACTCTATTGCTTGAAAAGTTTGTTGCAGATTTTGGCCAACATATATATCAAAGATTAATTTATTGGCAATGACCAACGTTTTAGACTTCTTTTTCACATACAGGTTTAGTCAGTTTTAATGGATCCATAGTGATGATTCATACAGTGTTCTACGTTTGTTCCTTGTAAATAATATGACATAGATTGGTCAACAACTACAGGAAGTTAAATTTCTCTTGTTCCATGGCAACCTTTATCAGGTTTTGTGTATACATAAGTGTAAATTCATTTATTTGGATTCTCCAGTGATCTAGCAACCCAAAATCACTTTGCTGCATGTAAGAATAAAACTCGGGTAGCTAAATGGTTCATTAAGTTTAGATTCGTCATGATCAAAAAAGTTAAGATAAAAGTTCGGTTGGTATCAATTAGGATTCAGTATCAATATCAACGATGGCATTCGTGCTTAAGATTACGAGGAGAATTGATGACATCACTTGCTATGATTTTCTAAATTTCTGAAGAACCTCAAGAACTACATTTGTCATGCTCATACATTATCCTGATTATGATTATTATTTTTTCAGTGCGCATCAGAGGTAGAAGCTAAATTATATATTTCGTTTTGGCTTTTCTCCTGTCAGGATCTGAATACATTTCATCCTGCTTCTGAACAGTAGCATCTTTTTCTTCTACACAGACATTCATTACTTTCATGGGTGGCGTGGTAGCCCATTGGTCAGAACTGCTGCCTCACAGCAGCAGGGACCTGGGTTCAATTCCAGACTCAGGTGACTGTCTGTGTAGAGTTTGAATGTTCTCTCTGTGTCTATTTCCTCCGGGTGCTCCAGTTTTCTTCCACCATCCAAAGATGTGCAGGTTAAGTGCATTGGCTATGCTAAATTGCCCTGTAAAGTCCAGAGATGTGCAGGTTAGATGGGTTAGCCATGGTAAATGCAGGGTTACAGAGATAGGTTGGCGGATTTCGAGGGTCGATGTGGATTCGATGGGCTGAAAGGCCTGCTTCTTCATTTTTGGGATTCTATGATCTTAATCCCTTCAAGGTTGACATTAAGTGACATCTGAAACACAGAATTTCCAGTGCTGCTGAAATTCTAAATCTTTGATTTAGGGTTAGCAGACTTTCTACCTAAACATGATAGAGATTCTTACGTAAAAGGTTGTCTTTAGCTCATTGAGGATCCAGTAAAGAGAAGGATAGTTAATAATGTTTAATAAGTCAAAAAGTCATGAACTAGTCATGACTGAGTGATGATTGGTTTTAGCAATGAGTTAGCCTTGCATATTCTGATTTTACCCATAAATAGTACCAATTGCCAAAATTACTTGTGTGGTTATTTGAGTTCCTCTATTTTTCTCCTTTGTTCCCATCTGCTCAAGCAAGAACAATGGCAGTTGCATGGAGAGGAGGTTAAACATTCATGTGCAGCTCCACCAATAGAACTACAACTGGATATTAGAAGCTGAAGAGTGACTGGAAAATGATTCCATAAATATCATCTGAGCTGAGACTGGAAATTCAACAATGCTATGCCATTAATCTTCCATTGTCTAATTATGTAGCACAACAGCATTGGCACTTCAGTGTGTTATGGCATCAAATTGCTGATCTTTGACCTAATCTTCTATTTTTTGTATGAATTCAATCTTGGCTGGATTCTAACTTCATTATCAACATAGCAGTAGCTAGTAATGCAGTTCATCAAGCAGCCTATTATTGAATGCTGCTTAACTTCAAGCAGACCTGAGTTCTTCTGAGCAGTGTCATTGGTGACCTTGAGAAGGGCAGTAAATACTGATGATGCAGTGATGCAGTCCATGTAGGCACACCTACGGTGTTGTTAGAAACAAGCTTGAGAAAGAAAATAAGAGATATGAGTAGATGTAAGCCACTGCTTATTCAAAGGACAGCTATTTTGGACACACCTGGCATGAACAACACAGGATACTCTCCATGAGCACTAGCTGCACGCAGCCATATTCATGGACATTGGCATCCAACATGTGCCAACCTCCAACAACCCTCATGCAGAACTTCTTATCCATTTGCAGAATGTTTACGCACTTCAATACTTCTAACTGCCATCGTAGTGCTGCAGCAAGGACTCTGTATGCTCAGGGAGAGGCACCCAGCTCATGGGCTGGACCAGGCTGCAACTGCAGGCTCTTCACTCACTGTCACGCTATTCACTTGCTCAACCTGTAAGGATGTCCGTAACAGCCCTG